TGATAAAGTTGAGGATGGATGGTAGGAGTATAGATATAGAGACGCCATTTGTAAGAATGGAGAGTGAGGGTAAGAGTGAGGTGGAGTTGGTGTTGAGGGGAGGGTGAGGGTGGAGAGTGAGTTTAGTGAGAGGATAGAGGAGATAGAGACGGAGGATAATGGAGAGTGTAGAGAGGAAGCAAGGAGGTGATTGGGGTTTAACGGAGAGGGAGGTGATAGGATCGTTGAGGAGGAGGGGTGAGGATAGAATGATGAGGGTATGGATGAGGAGGGACAAGAGGGGGAATTATAAGTGTAGGGTGAAGGATATGGATAGGGTGGATATAGATATGAAGGATGTATTAGGGGAGCAGAAGGGGAAGAGGGTGAAGATGTTGTTGAGATTGTATGGGGTAGTGATGAAGGAGAGGTGGAGTAGGATGATATGGATGTCACGTTTTGTGGGGTTGGAGAGTGGGAGGAGGTATAGGGATAGATTGATAGAGAGGACGTTAGGGGTGATAGACATGATGGGTGAGGAAACGAGTGATACATAAGTGAATAAAGGGATGGAGAATAGAGAGGGGTAGTGAATAAAGTGAATGGAGAAAATATTAAAAGGAGTGAATGAGAGGAATATGGGTGATAAAAAGGCGTGGGTGGGGTGCGTAGGAGATAGAAAAATAAAAATGTAATGTAAGGAGGGGTTTGTGTAGGATGACATTAGAGATAAAGAAGGGATCAAGCAATGTGGATGTGGAGGCGTTGAAGGCATTGGAGGATAGCATGAGTTTGATAATGAGGGATGGTGAGTATGTAGGGGCGGATGGGTTGACGGTGTATAGATTTAATTACAGGGGGAGGGGTGAGGATGGTTGAGGGTGAATAATTTTTGTGTGCTGTGAAATTTTTGTTAAGGAATATTTTGCAGAGAGGGAGTAGTTTTTGTAGCGACCCTTGCGTAAGGGCGATGCAGATGGCTGACCAGACTGGTAATAGATTTTATTGTGGAATATATGATATTTAATGTAAGATATATGTTTTTATAAATTATGCAAAGTATGTGTGACGGTGTATAATGGAGGGTTGTAAGGGTGGTTATAGATAACGCACATGGCTAACGCCAGTGCTAGGCCTTAGTGCTTGCTGCGCAAGCTTGCGACCCTTGCGTAAGGGCGATGCATATGGCTGACCAAACTGGTAATAGATTTGTTGTAAAGAATATAGGATATTTATAGGATATGTAAATGTATTTTATAAATTATGCAAAGTATATGTTTGAGAGCATAATGGAGGTTTGTAAGGGTGGCTATAGATGACGCACATTGCTACGCAAGTGCTATGGCTTATGGTTTGTTTCACAAACTTGGCGACCTTCTTCTAAATGCGGTGTGGTGGCCTTATCATTCTGGTAATAGATTTATTGTAAATTCTCATAGCGTTGTCGCTCTCAACTGACCCCTCTGGTTTCCAATAGTTTTCTGTGGGGGTATCCTTCGACACATGTGAATAGCAAATGGCAGTTGGGGTCTGGGGTGGGTCAGACGGCTGGGAGCTGATTCAAATTGGTTGGGACCTGTTTAAGGGGGTAGGGTACTTCCTGGTAGCAAATAATTGTACCAACAGTACCAATTTTATGGTACATATTCAAGTACTGTTAGGAAAACTTGTACCAAAATAGTTTATGCGGTACCTCCCCTGTTCAAACTATGATGCTTTGGACCCACCTGTTTCCCAGTGAAAGTGCCTTCTCCGATGGGGTCAAGTTTTGGACCCTACCCTGCCTCCGACCAACATAGACCACCCTTGTAGATCAGAGGGAGCTCTCAAGCCTTGCCCCTTCCCTTCCCTGGTTGCATATCCAAGGTTAGCAAGTGAATGTTGTTACGCAGACGTGACTCATCTGCAGCAGGAGAGCTCAGACGAGGACAAGCAGAGGCAATCCCTGCAGAATCTGGTGTGAGCGCAGTAGTCTGAAAACATCTCTGTGATTGCAAACACATGTAAAGAGGGTTGATCATCATAGATTTTAGCAGCTTGAATAAGTAGTACTCTGCACGGACCGTCCGCTAGTGGCGCTGTACGATGGATGACATTGACTCTCATGAGCAATAAGTAGGAAGTCATGAAGCATGTCACGGAGACAGCATGATCTATACTTATTTCATAGGAATCTGCTGCAAAGAGTCGGGCTTGAGGGCGGTCTGAGCAATATGCAAGTGTATTGCCAAGGCATGTAAAGAGTTTCAAGGAATACCAGTGCATTCATCAAATGGCAGTGATGAGGTACCACATGAAGGCATGACTTGCAAATTGATTGCATGTCGTGTTCTATTTCATGACTTACAATCAAGACGCTTTGAGCGACAAAACGATACCCCTTATAGCATTGTAAATCATATTTCATTTCCTTCACCTCGAGTCGAAGCAAGAAATTTTCAAGGTGCTGATATCTTTGTTGTGACTAGACTGACATGGTATCAGGAGCAGTTAATTGATGTTGGATCCGATTGAATCATGCAGATGAAAATGGACATACCCTTTTGAATAAATCTTTCTTCTCGAGTATCATACCAGAGCTTTCTTGCCTCTTTCTTTGTAACCTAACATGTACAAAGCATTGGCATTTTCTTACACAAAGTAAACTGAGCCTGACCAGCTTCTCTTATTCGCTGCATTCTCGCCCTTCCATCATCCTGATCTTTTCTTCGCTTGACACCCTTGGGTCAATGCGAGTTGCATGCTGCGATATCATCAATTGTTTGGAACCAAGCGATAAGTGGAACAAAGCGCTCAGGTGCTATGCAGGCTGCAATGCATCGCCGGCATTCCAACCATATGGATAAGTTTGCCAACTTTGCGCTGCTCATATTACTTGCAGCAAAAGTCAACCATTCCAGATGATAAGGACAATGTATGAGACTTGCGCAGAAGAATGTGCAAACACTTCCACACGACGGTGAGTGTGCACGATTCCACATACACAAGAATGCTGCGCAGAAGCATCTACCAGTTTCTTGTCTAACCACTCTTTTGATGAATGAGCATCGACTTCTCTAACATGTACATCAGGTCATGCAGGCTCATGTAAAAATGATGATGTTGTTAGCAACAACTTGGCATTGTTTTATTGAAGTACGTTGAAAACATCACCTAGGCCGCTACATATTCCCATGTCCGCTTTGCAACAGTTCTAAACCACGTATCACCATAAAGTTGTACATCATTCGACTAGTCCGATAACATCTTCATGTAGAGTCTCAGTTTTAAGCACAACGCGGTTTGGAGCGATACTGTGACTTGTTTGCCTGGTATGATTACATGTGACATGCTCTCTTACACAATTGAAGAGTATTGTAGAAAATTCAGTCAAGCGGTGCACAGTTCAGCCTTGCTTTCTTGCTATTCATCAAACATAGTGTATCAAACAGATGTCATCGTGTGGATCGACGCAAAATAAAGATGGACTCGAAGTTCTGTCTGAAAAATGACCCTTTGCAAGTACTGATGGATCGAGAGCAAGTTCGTGATGCTGTATCATTGAGAAGTAAAATGACAGTCATAAGCCAGTGCTATACGACTCGTATCCATCAGCTTGAAATATGAACCACTGAGTTTCATTCCATGAATCATCTTTCCTCCCGCATTCAAACTGAGAAACTCAGTGCTTGTCAACTCATGGGCATGGTTTCAGAGTTTGAATTTCCAGCAAGTTGAGGAAGGACAAGGCAGACAGAAGCGTCAAAGAAAGTTGAGGGTCATCAGGGAAGGTCTGACGAGAGTCTGAGACTCATGGACAGGGAAGGATAGGGATGCGCAAGTGCGGAGGGCAGGGAGATGGGGAGGGAGACCCCCTCTGCTAAATGTATTTTAAAAGGTACCCATTACAGTACCAGACCAAGACCTGTACCCCCCACCCCCCTGTCGCGTCCGTTGGGTTCGAATATTTGAAATACTACCACGCCTACCCATCAGGTTCTGGTACAAATCATTACTCCACTATACAAGGGCCTAAGTGATCCTATGCAAAGGCAATAGGAACAACTGTTTACTTATCTAAGCTCTCAATTACCCCCGGTTGCCGTTGAACGTGCAGCGCTGGAAATGGATTTTCAAACCTTCCAATCCTTCGATTTTTTACTTACACACAATTTTGTACTGGAAAACGCCTGGATCTGGTACAAATCCCAATTGTCAGCAAGTTCCTTGACCCGACAACGCTATGTATAGAATATATATAGTATATGTATTTTTATAGATTATGCAAAGCATATATTGGATTGAAAGGAGTGGCTATAGATAACGCACATGGCTAACGCCAGTGCTATGGCCTTAGTGCTTGCTACGCAAGCTTGCGACCCTTGCGTAAGGGCATGGCAATGGCCTTACCAGACTGGTAATAGATTTTTATTGTAAATTCTATAGAATATATTATAGTACACTAGTAGTATATGTAAATGTATTTTTAGAAATCATGCATTTTAATAGTATTCATGCATTTTATCTTTTGGTCTTTAAATTTAAGTTGTAATGAAATTCGAAATAGATGGGATTTTGCATTTCACTTATGCATTTTTAGTGCTTTTATGCATATTGGTCTTTAAGGTCTTTAATATAAATACTCTCAGAGTAGGAGCCACGTGGGTGTTTGCTTCTCAGTGATATGACTTGAGCCTCGGAGCGCGGCCCCGGGCCGGCGGCGGCCTGCGGGGGGCTCCTCCGAGCCGCCCGCCGGGCCGCCCGGCCGGTTGCAGTTCCACTGAGCGGCGGGGATGATAACTGATGTAATCACGTCGCTCTCTGCCGATCATCGGAGTTGACTCAGTTAACTTGTCACAGTGTGACTTTAAGGGTCACCGTCACGGTCACCGAGTATAGCCCGGCCGGAGTCACCAGTCCGTCCGACACGGTCCGCGGCGGCATCGCGGGGGCCGGGGCGGCCCGGCCCTCAGTGGCATCCGGGCCGAATGCCAAATCATCACCCTCTTACCTCAGTGTCATCTTTCCAGAAATAGGCTCACATGTCGGCTAGGCAGCGACGGTATGGGGCAGGGGAAGGGGGAGACGAGGATGGCGATACAGGAAAGATGAAGCGCTTCTATACCCTAGTGGCAGGTGGGACATTCTTGATGTCCGTTGTTCTTGCATGCACCTTGATTCCTAGAGGCCACACCATTGCTACTATGAGCAACGATGGCGAGGGTAAACATGGCCCTCGGTTAGACTCAGCCATCTCTGCTGCCCTGGAGGTTGCAAGCCATCAACTCAAGCCAGAGCAAATCAAGTTTTTTCGTGATCGACAAGCAGCGATTTCAGAGCAAGAGGATCTCAATAGGAAGTGGGAAAAGAAATCAGTGGAACATTTGGTTCGTTTGATTCAGAAAACTACGGACAGCGATCAACAACATGAAGAGGACGACTTGCTTCGTTCGACTCCATCTCAAAACGATATTGTCAATGAAAAGAAACATGTTGGTGCTCACCAAAATCAGAACACGAGAGTAGAGGAAAGCTCTGCATCATTTGCAACTCGCCAGCCATTGCAACAAAGCTTAGCGCAATCCAAGACCGTGAATGAGCATGCGGGGGGGATGGTCTCTCCTCAGTTCCAGGAAGACTTGGAGAAAATGGCGCGAGAAAGGGCAGCTCGCGAGGAAAGGGAAGAGCAGTTTCTAAAGTTGCGCGAGGAAAAGCAAGCAATCAAAGAAAACCGATTGAAACTTTTAGCAAACGCCCGCAAAGATTATCAGCAAGCAAGGAAAGAAGTAGTGCAAGTGAAGGATCGCTTGAAAGATGCCTTGGCACAACGGGACAAGATGACTGAGGCAGTGCGCAGTCATGGATTCTTGAGTGCAAAGGAGGCACTTCACCAACTCGCTCCAATCAAGCAACAGGTGTTACAAATCGATTGGAAGAGAAACCCTAGCTGAGCTTCTTCTATCATTTCCAACAGGTTGAAACTTTGATTGATGAGACTGCATCAGCACGGAAGAAGTGGATTGCAGCAAAGCAAGCTCTCAAGATCGCTGAAGCTATTGAAGAAGACCCAATTTCTTTGAAGTCTTCATCGGTCGCAGCAATGGAGGTCAGGCGGATTCGATGATGCATATTATCTTGTAGTTGACCACGACATGACAGGTGTAAAGTATTTGCAAGTGTTCATTATTCTTTTTCAGTAATCAAGTTGCTTCAATTCGCCGGGGCCCGCCCAAGCTGTTTAGCACCGGCGGATACCTTGCAACTTTTTAATATCCAAATATTCTGTCTTTCTCTACATTCGAACTCTCTAAATTTAAAGCTGCAAAGCACCGATTGAGGCTTGCGCAATCATTGCATGATCATGATCGTCACATAGAATGCCAGACCCAAGTTTCAGGTTTCCGAGGCCGAGTCGTGATAGTGTCGGACCAGAAAAGCTCGATTTTCTACTGCACATACGAGTCAATCTTGATGCGATCGTTCTATCTCGACCATCGGATGCAGCGAGCAAGCCTGGGGCTGACTCGCTGACCGGACTCCCACAGACGGGAATTTGACTACAGACACTAATTTTGACTATGCACCCTCATAGTCGTGTTTTCACGGTGATTTGACTATAAGCGTCGATAATGAGATCGGAATATTTCACTAAAGACACTCAATCTTGACTACAAAACCTATTAGATGACTTTGACACGCCCCTTCCCGCTTGGGGGCGCCATGCGCAGGATTGAGCCAGAGGAGGGGAAGGGGATGGAGGAGAACTGGAAACAGGACGAGCCTCGCTGCTCAGGGAGGATCGAACTAAGAGACTGCATGTCCCATCTTAGCGGTATGCCGCCCCTGAGCTCTTCCTCGGACTCCTTTCTCCCCGATTCCTTACAGAAGATTGATTCCTCCCATCGACCAGACCATGACGGTGATCCTGACATCCCTGTCGAAGATCCTGAGAGCAGCTCGATACGAAGCAGCTCAATCTGTGCTGCCAGGAGGAGTCGGGTGACGTCTCCTCTTCACTCACGCTTCGCCAATTTGAATGGGAGGCATCTGATTACCATTCGAAGGGTTTTCTACCTTTCAATCCTTCTACACTTTTGCAATTCAAAAGCAATAATGAGCTCAGACGAAGCTCAAATCTCTCACACAGGCAGAAGGCCCTTAGCTGTAAGTGCCGAATATGAACGAGATGTCGTGGTTAGTGGTACCCCGCCGGTGATTTGGCTGTATGCATTGCGGGACGGTGGCAAAAGGGCGGGACTCTGGAAACCTCTGGTTTTGACATCAGGATACCTTGGAAGCATGCTTTATGTTGATGTTTGGAAGAATCGATTCGATGGGGATATGACTCGATCCTCGCCCGACGATCTCTTGTTGAGGAAAACAAATGGAATCGACACCATTTCAACCTCGACTCTGCCTCGTTTCACTGATGCAGGAGTGCTGTTTGACGGCATTGACGATCTTATGGTCCTTCAGACGTTTTCTAATACTTCGCCGTTTGATCTGAGCTTCAACAATTCTTTGACTGTCATCGTCGCATTCAGCATTCAGCGCGATCCTGGAAGGGGCAGCTCAGGCGCTTGGATCCTCGGTAACAACGATTTGACCCATCCTCCTCCGATCGGGCCTACGGGGTTTGGTTTGTACATCGATCAATCTGGATATGTGAAGCCGTTAGTGGGTTCAGAGAATCGATACTCTTCCAAGTCTACGCTTGCAACCGGAACTCATGTAGTCTCAGTTCAGTCGGATCCCAAGACTTTCCGATTGTGGATCAATTCAACCATGGAGATCGACAAGATTGATCAGCATTCCATCTCTCTTGGGCCAAGATCTTTGTCACATGATCCCTCCCCTGATTCGGAGTCTATTCTTCAATCTAAATTTCCCTTCACTTTGGGTGTGGGGGCGACTCCTGGTCAACAGGATGAATATTTCAAAGGGCAAGTAGCAGAAGTCATGGTGTTCAATAGAGTGCTCACCGACAGCGAGCGATATAGGGCTGAGAGGATTCTTTGTATTCGGTGGCAAGATTGTACGGCAAATGGGGGTTCCATCTCATGGACAACTTTGTCTGGAACTGTTAGGGAAAATGTCGGGTACTACAACATTGAACTTCAGAGATCGGGCGGTAGTGATGGTTATGTTGAGATTGACTACACATTCCAATGCACGCGCTGTCAAGAGGGAGTCGACTTGGTCGTTAAGAAACCGCAGAAGGTTGCGTGGGAGCATGGCGATACGGCAAAGAAGTATATTTCAATGTTCATCTTTGACCAAAGGGAGTATCCGGAGGCTTCGAGGACAGTCGAATTACACCTTCAAGTCAGTCATGCTACTTTTGAAAGCTCGCTCACAGTCACTAACGAGGCATTTGTGCTTCAAATCGTCCCAGTGTCTCCGACGTCCTGGACGTATCTCAATGTCAACACTTTGGATTTCTTAGGGGGTCAGAACATAACATTCTTTCTTAAAAATGCAGGAGATTCCGATGTATATTTCGCACAATTCAGCGAGTCAAAATGCCTCTGTAAAAATTATTCCGTATCGTGCTACATTACGCAACAAAATCAATGTGAAGGACTGTGCCAGATCAATGCGACGCATCCATATCGAGCTGAGAACTCTAACTTACTCACTTTCAAGCAGCCTGCATGGCCATGCCAAGATCAGACAAGCTTTGTTCAATTATACCGCAGAGGCGATAACAACGACGTGACGTGCAGCGAAGCAAAGCCTCTGGTGGGATTTGAACCTGTTGATTATTTTTTCCAAACGTATGATGGACCGAACAACATGAGACTGCCGGTTCATTACGCTTATTCCTTCAAGTGCTCACAGATCGCATGGACGACTGTGGATGTCCTAAACGTTTCAACAAACCCCATGATATATGATGTGAAGAAGCCAATCGTGAGTTCAGTGATCCCTCAAAATGTCCCCACGGCTGGAAACGTCCTCATCACGATCCTCGGGAGCAACTTTGGTTTTTCAGACTACGAGTTCGAGATGCATGTTGGCGACACTCTGTGCAGTGCGAGCACTTGGACGTCTGACAGCAGCGTCTCTTGCAACCTTCACGCTGGCAGGGGTGTGAACTTACCCATGACCTGGTCATCGTCGCAGGAAGGCAACGTATCTCACTCCGTTCAAACCAGCTTCTGCTATGACTTGCCCGAATTTCTCTCCATGGTGCCAGAAGCTGTGTGCGAGAATGCCGCAAGGGTGACGATTGTCGGGACGAACTTCGGCACCTCCAACATCAGTACTGAGATCGTCTTCGAAGGCACAAGATGTTCGGACTCTCGATGGTTGTCCGATACTTCTCTTGAATGTCTCGTATCACCTGGGCTGGGGACTGTGAAGAACTTTACACTCCAGATGGAGATTTCGCCTCCTCTGCGTGTCGAGCTGGAGCCAGCCTCTCCTATCTTCGGGTTTTGCCCTCCCATTGTGACTGGGTTGGAATACCAGCAGCCGCTCAATGACACGCAGTCTCAGCAAGTCACAATCTTTGGTTCACGGTTCGGCCTCCCGGCCAGTCAGAGGACTACTTTCATCGGCTCAACGGCTGTCCAGGAGCTTGGGTGGGCCTCCTCGACCTCGATCACCGTTCAGAGTCCTCTGGGAGCCGGCAAAGATCTGCCGGTGGTCGTTTGCTTAAACGCTGCCTGCTCTCCTACCACCTCCTATGTCTCGTACCCTCCACCGCAGATCTTCTCCGTCGACCCTCTTCTGGTCTCCGGCAGGAGCTCAGTCAACATCACCGGACTTCATTTTGGCCCATCGCTGGAGTCCCAAGGCTCCTACTCGCCAGGACTGTACAACCCTGACCCATGGCATGTGCGAAACTTTCCCATCACCATGAAAGGCTCGTCCGCTCTAGCTTACAATGCTGGGACGAGCGTGACGGTGGGGCAGAGCTCGTGTCATACGATCGAGTACGTCTCGACTTCTTTGATCCGCTGTCAGGTGGCGTACGGGTCGGGGTCGAACCTCAAGCTGAACTTAGGCATCAATGGCTACAACTTAGAGCATGATCGGCTGCTGACATATCAGCCTCCCTCTGTCACTGCCGTCTCTCCTTCCTACCTGAAGCCTGTCGGCGAAGACATCAACGTCACAGTTTACGGAAGAAACTTCGGAGCTGATGGTGAGGTCCAGGCGACGATCGGCACGACAGTCTGTTTCTCTTCGATCTGGATATCAGACTCATCTCTTCTGTGTTCAACAGCCTATAACCTCGGAACTTCCAAGGAATTTATCACAGGTGTTGGGACAAGGAACGTCTACGTCGAGGTCGGAGGGCAGCGAAGCATGCCGGAGCCAAATCGCCTTCCCCTGTTCACCTTTGCTGCCCCGTCAGTGACCAACATCGTCCCAGCGGAAGCATCGTATCAGGGAGGGGCGACAGTTACCCTCTTCGGAGAGAACTTTGGCAGCACCGACTACACCCTGGGACTGCAAGTGGGAGCCACGAACTGCCTGGGCACAACCTGGTCGAGCGACTCAGCCATCACGTGTGTTGTGCCTGCGTTCTACGGGCCTAAGGGCGTCAGCTCTCCTTTTATCAAGCTTCAGGCGGAAGATGTTGTTTCACAGTCCTCGGACTTCAGGTACCTCGCTCCCGTCGACGCCCTCCAAGTTTCGCCCAGCAACTCCCCCAGCACAGGGCAAGTCCTGTTGCAGCTCACGGGCAGCTCCTTTGGTGCGTACGGAGATGTTGTCAAAGTTTTCATTCAGAACTCCCCTTGCTCCGATCTTCAGTGGTTCTCAACGTCTTCGGTCCGTTGCAGAGCCCCTGTAGGGCTGGGCAGGGCAAAGGTTGACATCTCTATCAAGAGCAAGAACGCTTCCTCCTGGACGACCTTCTACGACAAGCTCACCTACGACGCAGCCGTCGTCACTGGCTTCACCAGGAACTTCCCGACCGCCGGGGGAGTGCAGACTACACTGCTGGGGAAGAACTTTGGGTACACGGGGGACCAGGAGCTGGTCCAAGTCATCTTCGGGAAGACGCAGTGCAGCTCGACTGGGTGGATCTCTGACTCAGCCATGATGTGCCTGACCCCTCAAGGGCTGGGGGTCGAGGACGCGATCTGGGCGAGGTCAGCGTGCAACCAGTACCCCCTCCAAGGCCCCTGGTGCGTGGAGGGGTCTCAGAG